AATGTCCCTCCATCTCCATCCCCTCACACTGACAATGTCCCTCCATCCCCTCACAGTGACAATGTCCCTCCATCCCCTCACAGTGACAATGTCCCTCATCTCCATCCCCTCACACTGACAATGTCCCTCCATCCCCTCACAGTGACAATGTCCCTCATCTCCTTCCCCTCACAGTGACAATGTCCCTCCGTCTCCATCCCCTCACACTGACAATGTCCCTCATCTCCATCCCCTCACAGTGACAATGTCCCTCCATCCCCTCACACTGACAATGTCCCTCCATCTCCATCCCCTCACACTGACAATGTCCCTCATCTCCATCCCCTCACGGTGACAACGTCCTTCCTCCACCCCCTCACAATGTCCCCCATCCCCTCTCAATATCCCCAATTCCCAGCCCCTCCCAGCAATGGGATCCTCCATCCCCATCCCAGCTTTCCAGCAGCTTTTTCCTCAACATCTGCCCCAAAACCGAATTAAAACACCTTCCAATCAACTGGTGGCTGCAGGAAGTGGGTGAGGAGGTCCAGACTGGGCCTCAGTTTGTCCAGAACCACCCCCTGGTTTTCCTCAAGCCCCACAATCCTTTTCCAGCCCCGTTGGAGTGACCTGGTCCTTGGAAGGGGTGGAATGCGATGAGCTTTGAGGTCCCTTCCCACCACGGAAACCGATTCCCTCATTTCTCCCTCGTCTCAGGAAGGAGAATCCACAACTCCAGCCGGTGGCAGCTCCAGCCACGGAGATGGAAACGCAGGGAAGCCAAAACACGGGATTGTGGAGCGGCTCCAACCTCTCCCAGGCTTTCCAGGGACACCAGGAATTCAGGCAGAGCCGCGGATAAACTCAGGATAAGTCCTTTTTTATCTCCACCCACCGACACATCGACCTGGAAAATGAAACCTGTTTACAAACAACACGACGTCAACACCACTGAACGCTTCGCTCCGCGGGAAAAGGGCCGGGAAAACATCGGGAATGGGGCCGTTACAGTCATGGGAAGTCACGGAGGGCCTCGAGGAAACCCCCTGGAACCGAAGTGCTGCCGTTCCCAGCCAGCCGGGCCGAGGGCACAGCTCTGATCCACACGGACACGCTCCCGTTCCCGGGGGAAGAGGCTCCGGAGCGGCTCCGGCTTCCACACATGCTCCAAAGGAAAAATCTCCTACAAAGCCACCTAAAAAACAGAGACCGCACGAAAACTAGCGACTAAACGTGGAGATTCCGTAAAAAACAAAAAAAAATCCTCTAGTCCCCCAAAAAAACCCCAGAAAACGAAACAAAACCCAAATCACTTTCCAGGGAAGAGGCTCCCCCGGCTACGCGGGATCGGCGGGACGAGAACGGAAAACATTCACGGACACGGCGGGATCCGGAACATCCAACACACACACGTCGGGTCCTTCCCCCCGGGCCGGGTTCATTCCACGGCCTCGGGGCCTTCCTCGCTTCCCTCCTCCTCCTCCTCCTCCTCCTGCTGCTGCTGCTGCTCCGGCTGCTGCTCCCCTTCCCCCGGGAGAGCTCCCTCTGGATCCTCTGGATTTGGGGAGTTCTGCTCCGGCTCTGTCTGTGCCCGGCGCTCCCGCTCTGTCTCTGTCCCCTCTTTTTTGGGATCCTCCTCTCCCTCCCCCTCTTTTTCGGGATTCTCCTCCGGATCCTTGTTTTCCTCCTCGACGTTCCGCTCCTCGGGGTTTTCCTCCTCCTCCTCCGGGTTCTCCTCCTCCTCCTCCGGGTTCTCCTCCTCGTCCTTGTTCTCCTCCTCCGCTCCTCCCTCCGCTCCTTCCTCGGCGTTCCCGGCTCCTCCTTCTCCTTCCTCGTGCTCCTCCTTCTCCTCCGGATCATCCGTGAAGGGATTCTCGCCCTGGGAAGGGGAGACAAACATTCGTCTGCCGGAGGAATCCGGGAATTCACACCTCCCACGGAACTGGGAAATGAGCAGCTCCCGGAGCAGCTGCTGCCTCCGGAATGCAGAGCCGAGCTAAACGTGGGATACTGGGACGGAATTCCTCCCTCTGAGGGGCTGGGATGGAATTCCCAGGGAAGCTGTGACTGCTCCATCCCTGGGAGTGGCCCAGGAGCCACCTGGGCCATGGGAGGTGTCCCTGCCCTTGGAATTAAGTGGGATGGGATGGGATGGGATGGGATGGGATGGGATGGGATGGGATGGGATGGGATGGGATGGGGTGGGATGATCCTTAAGGTCTCTTCCCATCCAAACCATTCCATAATTCCAGGATTCTGGAGCCTCTCTGCTCTGGGGAGCTGGGAATGTTCACCTGGAGCAGGGAAGGCTCCAGGGAGACCTTCCAGAACATTCCAGGGGAGCTGGAGAGGGCCTTGGGATAAGGGATGGAGGAACAGGACACAGGGAATGGCTTCCCCTTGGAAAAGAGGGGATTTACACGGAATTTGGGAAGGAATCCTTGACTGGGAGGGTGGTGAGAGGCTGGGATGGAATTCCCAGGGAAGCTGTGGCTGCTCCATCCCTGGGAGTGTCCCAGGAGCCACCGGGGCCATGGGAGGTGTCCCTGCCCTTGGAATGAGGTGGGAATGGGATGGGATGGGATGGGATGGGATGGGATGGGGTGGGATGGGATAAATGGGATGGGATAAATGGGATGGGATGGGATGGGATGGGATGGGATAAATGGGATGGGATGGGATGGGATGGGATAAATGGGATGGGGTGGGATGGGGTGGGATGGGATGGGATGGATGGGATGGGATGGGATAAATGGGATGGGGTGGGATGGGATGGGATAAATGGGATGGGGTGGGATGGGGTGGGATGGGATGGGATAGGATGGATGGGATGGGATGGATGGGATGGGACGGGATGGGATGGGATAAATGGGATGGGATAAATGGGATGGGATGGGATGGGATAAATGGGATGGGATGGGATGGGATGGGATGATCCTTAAGGTCTCTTCCCACCCAAACCATTCCATGACTCCCAAGGTCGGCAGGGCCAAGCCCAAGGCTCCCCTTCCACAGGGAAACTCTGGGAATATCGACCCATGATCCCACTCCTTCCCAAAAAGCCTCCCCAGGAGCCCCGGGGGCTCGGTTCCCGCGGAATTCCGGCGGCAATTCCCAATTCCCACCTTCAGGTACCGCTCCAGCTTCTTGCTGATGAGTTTGTTGTTGAGGATGCTCCGGGCCACCACCAGCGAGGATTTCTTGGATTGCTCCAGCATGGCCTGAGGGGGGGGACACACAAGGAGTCAATCCAGAGCCAAATCCCAGGGATCAGAGGGTTTTACACCGGGAAAAGCCGCCTGGGGAAAGCTGGGAATAACGGCAGCTCGCGTGGGAGCCGGGAGGGATCAAAGGAACGGGGGGGAAGGCACAAAATTCACCGGAGAGGCTGAGGAGGGAGATCCTGGGGACACAAATCCAGGGGAATTAAGTGAAGATTTCTTGGGAAAAACGATTCTGGGGGGACAAATCCCTCAAAATTAAGATTTTGTGGAAAAAAGATGCTGGGGGGACAAATCCCTCAAAATTAACTGAAGATTCCTTGGGAAAAAGGTTCTGGGGACACAAATCCATCAAAATTAAGCAAAGATTCCATGGAAAAAAACGATTCGGGGGGGACAAATCCCTCAAAATTAACTGAAGATTTTGGGGGAAAAAGATGCTGGGGACACAAATCCAGGAAAATTAAGTGAAGATTCCTTGGGAAAAAGGTTCTGGGGACGCAAATCCATGAAAATTAATTGAAGATTTTATGGGAAAAAGGTTCTGGGGACACAAATCCAGGAAAATTAAGTGATGATTTCGTGGGAAAAAGGTTCTGGGGACACAAATCCCCCAAAATTCCCTGGAGATTCCCCGGCTGCAGCTCCCGGAGCCACAGGCCCAGCCTAGTCCAGGGCAGGGATGCCTCTCCCGGGATTTGGGAATGCCCTGGATCATCTCTCCCAGGATTTGGGAAGCCCCTGGATTGGTCCCCCTGGGATTTGGGAAGCCTCAGATGGGCTCTCCCAGGACTTGGGAATCCCCTGGATCTGCTCTCCCAGGATTTGGGAATCCCTGGGATCAGCTCTCCTGGGATTTGGGAATCCCTGGATTATCCCCCACGGGATTTGGGAATGCCTGGATCATCCCCCCCGGGATTTGGGAATCCCTGGATTATCCCCCCCAGGATTTGGGAATCCCTGGGATCAGCTCTCCCGGGATTTGGGAATCCCTGGGATCAGCTCTCCCGGGATTTGGGAATCCCCGGGATCAGATCTCCTGGGATTTGGGAATCCCTGGGATTGGTTCTCCCAGGATTTGGGAATCCCTGGGATCGGATCTCCCAGGATTTGGGAATCCCTGGGATCAGCTCTCCCAGGATTTGAGAATCCCTGGATCATCCACCCCCCAGGGTTTTGGAATCCCCGGGGTTGGCCCCTCCCGGGATTTGGGAATCCCTGGATCATCCCCCCCGGGATTTGGGAATCCCTGGGATCATCCCCCCGGGATTTGGGAATGCCTGGGATCAGATCTCCTGGGATTTGGGAATCCCTACATCATCCCCCCCAGGATTTGGGAATGCCTGGGATCAGCTCTCCTGGGATTTGGGAATCCCTGGATCATCTCCCCCGGGATTTGGGAATCCCCGGGATCGGTTCTCCCAGGATTTGGGAATCCCTGGGATCAGCTCTCCCGGGATTTGGGAATCCCTGGATCATCCCCCCCGGGATTTGGGAGTCCCTGGGATCGGCTCTCCCAGGATTTGAGAATCCCTGGATCATCTCCCCCGGGATTTGGGAATCCCTGGATCATCCCCCCCGGGATTCGGGAATCCCTGGATCATTCCCCCCGGGATTTGGGAATGCCCTGGATCATTCCCCCCGGGATTTGGGAATGCCCTGGATCATTCCCCCCGGGATTTGGGAATGCCTGGCCCGGCTCACCCTGCGGTTGTGGTTGTGATCCAGGGATTTCAGGTGTTTCTGGATGGTTCCGAACTGCATGGGCAGGAACAGGTCACAGGCGGCGCAATGAGCGGCCTCCACCTTCTTCAGGAAGTGCTCCATGCCCACCTCTGGAACGGGAGCACAGCGGGATTAACTGGGAACAGACTGGGGTTAACTGGGGACAGACTGGGATTGACCAGGAATGGTCCAGGATTAACCGGGAACGGCCCGGGATTAACCGGGAACAGACTGGGATTAACCAGGAACAGACTGGGATTAACCGGGGACAGACTGGGATTAACTGGGAACAGACTGGGATTAACTGGGAACAGACTGGGATTAACCGGGAACGGCCCAGGATTAACCAGGGACAGACCGGGATTAACCGGGGACAGACTGGGATTAACTGGGAACAGACTGGGATTAACTGGGAACAGACTGGGATTAACTGGGAACAGACTGGGATTAACCGGGGACAGACTGGGATTAACCCACCCCAGGATCCCGGTTTTTCCAGGTGTTCCCACCCTGGGTGAGATCCTGGTCCCTGTGGATCTGCTGGATCACGGCGTTGATGTCCTTGATCCCACTCATTCCCTGGGATCCCTCCACATCCATTCCCTGGGATCCCTCCACAT